ATGTTATCACTTCTTGTTTACCTAGACTGGGGTGCCTCATGGCAAAATTTTCTGTAGAGGGCCACATGATAAATATTTTAAGTTGTACAGGCAACATGATCCATGTCACAACTACTCTGCTTTGCCTTCACAGCAAAAAAGTGGTTATAGACTCTGAATGAAAGAATGAATGTAGCTACAACATCTTTTGTAGGTGATGCAATCTGAATTTCATATAATATTCGCAAATAATATTCTGACATTTTTCAACCTTTTAACCATTTAACAGTTTACCCCAAACATCAGTGGGGCAACACATTTTTTTACTTACTGACTATCCCAAATGTCGCTGGACCAGTGGGTTTTTGTTTGCATGAGATGCACTCATACATGTGTTTATTTATTTTAAATCAAGTATTTTTTTCATGCTTTTTATTTAGAGTGTTGTGTTCACCTTCGCTGTTTGTTTTGTAAAAATCTAATAATAAGTTCTGGATATTTTGTTTTACAAATTCACGTACATATTATATGTGAGAAATAACCCACAATTTTATGCTACAAAGTATAAAAACTCAATTACACTGAATATAATTTTTATACTTCTCCAAAATTCAGTGATATTCTTTCATGATACAAAATGGACATGCTTGGAAAATTGAAACTTAATAGGAAGAAAGTCCAAAAAGATATGCAAAAAAATAAAAAAAAACTAAAAAAGGAACAAATGTTAGTATATCAGAGAAGAATTGGAAGGACACAAAGTATATCTCCTTATTGTCAACTATTCATAATATAGAAATGATAGAACTTGAAAGAAGAAATTAAACTTTTAAAAATCCAATGACTGTCAATGATTATAAAAACTCTATAAATGGTATTGATAAAGTTGACCAACATGTAACAAGCTATCTGTAATTAAAAAGTGAAAAAAATACATATGCCTGTTTTGGATCAAGCAATATAAACTGAAGATATTTGAGGTCACACTTCCATTCTCGTACCAAGAAAGAAAAGATTTAAAAACTGAACATCAACAACTTTCTGAGATCAATCAGAGAATTGAGGATGCAGAACATGCTACCTTTAAAACTGGAGAGGTGGGTCAATATAGAACGCCACCCAGAGCTGGTGCTCATAACTAGTACAAACATATAAATGATCATAAACAAAATGTTAGAGGTTTAAGTGTGTCTAACTTGATAATTACAAATTCTTGAAAACCAGTCTTGGGGTGACTCCACATTTTTGTGAGTTTTAGTGCCAATTTTCAGATTAGAAGGAAAACTTCACTCTTCTTTTGGCAAGAGGAAGGGAAAAATAATCATTCTGAAATATGCCCAGAACATTCTGTTCATAACAAAGCCCTGTCCTCAAGGGAAACTTCTGTATCAGAAATGGGAAAGAATACTACATAATGTTAAAGGGGTCAGTTTTCTAGAAAAATGTGCTAATCCATAATATATGTATATGTATATTTGTTTGTATATAAATGTACACAAGTATATGAACACATGCCAATTTGTATAATTATATACATGTTTGTATGTTCATATGCATGTATGTGTACATAAACTATCAACATTTGTTCCTCGGTTTTAACAGTATATCACATTGATGGACAAATTAGGACAGTGGTAGGAAAGGATGTATGGAAATTCTATCATCTGTTCAATTTTTCTGTAAGCCTAAGACTTGTAATACAAAGGTCTATTCTTCTAAAAAATATTCTTAGTCTACAGAAATTACAAACCAGGCATCAGGCTGGATTCGTACTATAGGCCATAGTTTCTCAAAATTTGATTTTATAAGATAATTTCATTTTGAAATCTATTTCCTCCTTTTGATCTTTGATGAGGTATGGCAGCTATTGGTAGCAAACTAAGTGATTTTTTGTTTGAAAATACCTTGATTTTATTCTAAGATATTGACAGTTGGAACTCAGTAAACTGAGAAAACTGCCAATAACCCCAGAGATTTGAAAAGCAAACCTAATCCAAGACAGTAACATAATCATGTTTTAGGTAAAAAATGTTAGGAGCAACTCTCTTCTATCTTGAACCTACACTAACACAGACAACTTATCTCATCCTCCAATCTCTGAGTTCTTTTCTCACGGAGAGAATATGCCTGATCTTATTAATGATCTTAGGTTTCAGAATGCATCTTGCAGAGTACTTTTCTCCATTAGGTGTTGCATGGTTGTAACCCACCACGGCTCCAGGGTAATGGCAGCATTGCCTAATCAATATATACCTCTCTAGCCTGTTTTGATTTCTAACACTTTTTGTTAATTCCTCAATCTTCTATGAATTCAAAAGAAATTTTAACTACTATATCAGCTGTTATACTGAACCAGATTTCCAGCACATTGTCAGAACATAATAAAAACCTTTTCTTGTAAAAAATTTGTTTGTAGTTTAGAAAGTCTAAGGTGAGTTAAAATTAAATTCAATACATTTTTGTAAAATGAACAATAGCTATCCTAAGAGTAGTCTAATGTTCTTTTTGTTGTAATTTAAAAATTTCTTTCCATGAATTTGTTTTAACTAGGTAGTCAGAAAAAATTAATTGTAAATAAATATATTAAATGCACACACGCACACACACACACACGCACACACACACACACACACACACTGCCTAAGAACTATAAGCCAATTTTACATGAATGATGGTGGCTTAATTAGAAATGTTGATCTACACCAGTGGTTTTCAACCTTGGCTGCACATTAGAATTAACTGAGGGAACTTTTAAGAAATAATAATGCAAGGACTCCATTCTCAGGAAGTCTAGTTTTATTGCTCTGATGTGAAGCCCACAGATGGATATTTTCATAAGCTCCTCAGTTGTTTCTAATTGGCATTTGTAGATAAGAAGCATGGATATAGGGCTCTATACAGAGTCTCCCATAAGGACAAAGGCATATATTTAGACAGAGGGCCAAGTACAATGAAATGCTTGTTTGTTTGTTTGTTTTTGGTATTAGGGGTTAAATCAAGTGCCTTTGCACTGAACTACATCCCAAACCTTTTATTTTTTAATTAATTAATTTATTTATTTATTTTTCATTTGTGAGATAGCCTCTCGCTATGTCACTAAACTGCCTAGTCTGTAATTATTCAGAATCCCTTACAAACTTTCAGTCCTCCTGATTCATCATTTCAAAGTTCTAAGCTCACCACACCGTAATTCAGTGCAAGCATTTTGTAGTTCAGAGTACACATAATTGCCCTGAATTTAATATCTAGAAATCCTCTATCTCGGCAGCTAGTGGTTATGATCTTCTACCTGGTGCTTCTGGTCTGTGCCTTGAACCAAACCAGTATAGTTCTAAATGATCCTAGGGCCAGTGTCCTAGTTCCAGAAGTAAGCTCCTTTTAAGATTCCATACTTAGCCTCCACCTCCACCTGCTATTTAAGGAAATGGATTCCTGTTAATTTCCCTTCAAATCAGGTTTCTGATTTAATAATCAGAATTTTATCTCAGGTACCTCTAAGATTAAAGTTCTATTTTCCTCTCACTGAATGCCTTGAAAGTTCTTACATGGTGGTTAAGAGCACTCAAATCATAAGCTGACCAACCTGAATTTTAATCTCAGTTCTACCATATTCTACTTTTGTGACCTTAGGTTAAAACAAAACAAACAAACAAAAACAAGCAAAACAAAACAAAAAATCTAAACATTTGTCCATAACATGGCTGTAGTAATGGTGCCTATGTTATAGAGTAGTTGTGAAAATATATTTGTTTTTACTATAACATCTAGTAAATTGATAAATTCAATTTGGCTGTCAAGGTTATTATTGTAATTATTCAGAATCCTTTACAAAAAGTCAATTTCTCTTGCAGCCTCACTTCATTCAGTGTTGCTATCAGGTCAGTCACTGTACAGTGTTTAGTTCAAGACACATAGATACCCCTTGCCCCCTATTGGCTTAGCAACACAGACACCCTCTGACCTAGAGTCCATCCATGTATCCATTCAATATTTATTGAGATTCTGAGGTGTGATAGGGCCCTTGCTGGAGCTTAGGCTTCACCAAGAAACAAGAACTTTCACATCTTAGAATGGTGTATGGAGTAGCAGCAATGTGTAAACTTTGAAAATGTCCCCCTAGATACTGCTGGGGTGCTGCCAACAAACTGCATCCCCCACTCCTCGATGCCCGCCCACCCACACACACAATCACACACACCATTAAGGATTATCGGTCCCGCTGAACACCTTCCATTTTTTCACTCACTCAGCACTTTGGTCTTAAAGTTCTTCTCATTGATACGAGGCCCTTAAGAACTTCTGAAAGTCTACCTCCATAATAGATACAATATCAAACATTAAAATGTGAACAAATCATACAGTAAGAACATAATCTATGAACTCTATACATAAAGCTGGGCTGAGAGCCAAAATTTCCTTTTCAACTGTCAAGGCTCATAATAGCTCTTCAAATCTTCTATACTCTCCAGAGAGCAAAGGTATACAAGATTTTTACAGGGAAATTAAGAAAATTCAAGTTTTTCTTTCCTTGTAATTTTTTCAGTTCCCTGATGGCAAGGGTTATCCAATGTTTCAGTGAAACATAACCACAGCTAATTAGAGGGAGACAAGCCTACATTCTCCTGAATTAGTCCAATCTAGTGGGAGAGAGGCTCAACATTTATGTCATTCTTGTTATTGACAGAATATCTTCACTTTCTTTCATTTAATCCATTAAACTTATGAATTAAGTACAGTATAAGCATAATTCCATATTATAGTTGGAAAAAATTGAAAAGCAAGAAGGGAATACAGTTTTGTTTCAGAAAACACAAGCAGTAAGGGGAAAGCAAGGACCTGAAAGAAAGTGTGATATCTTGAAATCTTGATTATTTTTCAAACAACTTCCCACATACCGCCCAGCAAGGCAGCTCCCACTGTGAGATCAGGAGTATATGCATTTATGTTTTCTGACTACACTCTGGGATTCTTAGAACTTTTAGAACATAACCCTGAAATGTATCTGCTGGTTCTGTGCCAAACTGCATGCAATTGCACCCACGTATGCCTGGGTAGTGCCAGCACATTCTTTCACTGTTGCTTCTCTGTCTTTAGTAGCAATTCAAGACCAGGAACTTCTAACCTCATTTCAGATCTTCACTGCATCAAGGTCAGTATCTTTGTTTCACCAATGTCTTAAAGGCGTTCTCTACAGTTTTAAGCCAAATAATAACCATTCCCTACCGACTGGATCTGACTTTAACATTATTGCTTTTTCTTCTTATTATTTATTTATTATTTTTCGAGGGCCATAACTACCTTAAATTACTGTTCCCTCCAGCATCAGCAATGCTGTAACATTTTCAAGGACAAGACTTTACTGCCTACCATTGCTTCTTGTTTTATTGTCAGTGGCAATTTTAATTCATTTCATTTCTGTGTCACTGTCACTCCAACTTCTATATCTGGCACAGTGTGATGTCCTGAAGTTCAGAGTTAACATACAGACCTTGGCTTTAATAGAAAAGTAATGTTCTTTGGCTTTTTCATATAACGTTAACAGAGTCAGCCACAGCCAACTCCTAAGTTAAGCAAAATAAAATTTTTTCCAAATGCCAGGGGACTCTTCACTGTCTCTATGTGAGTAACAGTGAGACAAGGATTATCATTTACCAGAAACAAGGAAGAAGACATAAGATATAGAAGGTAAGTGGACTGGGTTCCCAAGACCTAGCTTTACTAATCTGTTTTATCATTGATTGGTTGTACCAGTGACTTCAGAAGGTCTTAATCTCTCTCTCCTTCCCTTTAGAAAAATTGAGAAAGCACTATTGGCATTTATTTTCCACTCAGTGATGCTTACAGTTTGAGAACAGTATGGGGAAAAAGTTGTACAAATTGTTATGGCTGACAATGGATGTGAACTTGTATTGAGCTAAGATAAACAAAATGCTCTCTGGAGAAAAGAAAAGTTCACCTGTGTGAGTTAAATTAATTCTTCCCCTGCTCTAGGGAATGGTAAGATTGTTGTATCATACACTGTTGCCTGAAAGAGTTTGTTGTCTTCCGTCTTTGTGTGGCTAACTTACCCTGACTTGAAATAAAGCCCAGTCAATAATGTCCTTTTAAATTTACACAGAAAAAATAGCAATAGAAGTAGTACTATGTTCTAATTTGGGAATCAATAAGTATCTTGTATCAGAGGCACAGAACAAGGGGTAGCTATCTCCTAGAGCCAAAACCTGCCCCTTCTCTGCTCCCCATCACTTTTGATGTCTATGGGATGGCAGTTACCTAAGCTGGCACACAAAATTGAAACTAAGTGAAGAAAGAGAGAAATTAAAAACAGAAGAGACGTAGACAGTAGCAGTTCTTTATCCCTCAGTATCTATCTTTTGTTTTTTTCTCTGTACAGGACAAATGCACTGAAAAGAAGAAAATCATGTAGGTTGCTGGGGAAGGATGGAAAATTAAAAAATTTCTCTCATTTCTGGACAAATGATAGTTTCTGGGAACAAATATGGAATATATGAGTCATAATTCATGGCATTTTGTGATACTTGAGTCACTTAAATACAACTAAGCGAATTAATCCATATGAAAAATAGGATCTTTCCTGGAAAACTCAGCTGCAGGACTCCTTTATCTCTGATCTGTAGCTGAGAATGAAAATTTATACCTCCTACCTCCCTCTCTTTTCTTGCAGTGACTAAATCAAACAAATAATTCTATTATAGTGATAATAGGCCAGGCATTTTCCAAGCATTTGGAAAATTATAGATTAGTAATTGGTAAAATGACCAGTACTAGCAGCTGCTAAAGTCATCAAGATTGACCATTCTTTAGCCTGTAAGCAAATAGTGCTTTCTTTCTAAACTCTGTAATTTCCACAGTGAAATTTAAATTCTAAGAAAAGCATGGTGGCATTTTTTCTGTGATCTTATAGATGTCATTTTGTTATATTCACTTTCTCAAAAAAAAAAAAACTTAACCCCTATTTAAAACATGTAAAAATTGTAGATTTCCCACTTCCTGTCACACTCATTTCAGAAGGGTGCCATTCCCACAGGATCCTGAAATCTTATACTGTTAGAAGTCTTTATTCAAAGGCATTTAAATGTTCCTTTATGATTTTGTGGTCTTAACTTTAAAATAGAGTGAAAAAGACAAGGCATAGAAGTTACAGAACATTAAGAATTCTTAATCACCAGTAATCTTTGCAATAAAAGTAAACAAGGATGAAGAATAATTGAGATTAATCAGTCAGGATTGTTGTGGCTAGAGGTGACACAAAATTCCAACTGAAATTATTTATATTGTAAAAAGTTAACTCTAACAGATAAAAACTTGGCAGTGGGAAGCTCTGTACTTACTCATTCAGAAACTTAAATATGCCAGATTTATATATAATTCTCTTGGTTTTTACCTATAGTTCCAAGATGACTAAAGTGGTCCTAAACATCATGTTCTTTAAGAAACACTACTAGAATTTCTTTTATAAAGCAAGCTTTTATTAGATGCTCACTTTCAAGAACAAAGAAAACTTTTTGAGGTGTTTCCACAAGGAATCTTTTCCATTTTGTTGGTTGTGGTATCAGCTCATGCCTATCTTTTGGTGATAGGGAAGTGGGATGATCATAAATGTCTTCAATACCCTGATGACCCATGATACAATTTAGAGTCCAATAATTATGTAGACCTATTAAGCAGGATGAGAATAGAGGGATAGGGATTTAGTTCAGTGGCATAAGCACCTCCCTAGTAAGCTTGACGTCATGAGTTTGATTCTCAGAAGAAGAAGAAGAAAAAAAAAAAAAAACCCACCACAATGAGGATAGATGCTGTTTTCCAAAGGGACAAACGCAGCAAGAAAATGGGACAGTACTGGAGGGCTGCTAACAGTGGGAAATTTCACTTCACCTGTGGAATCAAGGAGAAAGAAATGAGAAAAGAGGCTATGGAACTGGACCACCCAGCAGGGAGTATAGACTTCCATAGAGTAAGACTGCCATCACTAGTGCTCTGAAGGAAGGAGCCAGTGAAATAAAACCCCAACCTTAAATCCTCCCCTTCTCAGATCTGCTTTACAGACCAAACCCGAAAGAAGCCGGGGGCATGGTGAGCCACTGACTCAATTTCTCAGCATCCTGGGCACAGAGCACAATGTAGCCTGAGAGGAGACTGGAGTGTAGTTCAGGAGGGACAGCACGTCACAGCCACCACTTACTGTACAAGACTCCTAGAATCTTAGGCAACATTTAGCTCAAACTGGAGGCAGAGAATGATAACACTCTCACTGTTCTGGTGAATGCTTACTCCAAGGAGTTTTAATTTTTATTTTTAGAAACTTGCATAACATTTCTTATACCCAAGTGAGACAGAGTAAAACAAATACCTTCAATAGTTGTATCTTCTAGTTTATCGTATCAAATTCTTCAGTAAGAGTTGCTATTTCTCTTTTATTGGTAGTGAAAATAAGGTTTACAGAGTTCAAGTAGCTTGTCTATAATCATTGTACACAGAAGTGGCTGATTTAAGACTTGTCCATGAGACAGTGGGCTCCAGAATCTCTTCTCTCAATCACAGCTTCCCATTGCACAGAAATGACTGAGATTTGGCCATATTTTCCAGGTATCTTAGAGCATTCTGTACAACATACAAAGGTATGTTCTAACATATCTATTACAGCTTCCCATTGCACAGAAATGACTGAGATTTGGCCATATTTTCCAGGTATCTTAGAGCATTCTGTACAACATACAAAGGTATGTTCTAACATATCTATTGGATAATATTTCCTGTAAGCTTTAAGTGAATTCAGTACAATAGATTGTACTGAATCTCTATGAACACTGTCCCACTTAATCTTTTCCTTTGATTCCTGCCAGGTGTCTAACATGTTACTAATGCTACCCCCTCTCTTCACTAACTTGCAGGTGACAAAACCAAACTTTAAAACAGATAGGGGAGGGAAGAAAAGAAAAGATAGAAGAAAGAAGGAGAAAGAAAATGAAAGACTACCTAATTTGAGCAACTAAAACAAGAATCAAAACCTTTGATTCCTAGTTCTGTATTCTAAACCTTCTCGTTTTTAAAGGCAAAAAGCAAAACATTGCTTTCTCCTTCTTCAGGCAGACAGTGATTCAGTGTTTGTGCAATGAGACCACAAAGGCAAATCATGCTGTGTGTCTTGGAATGAATGACAAACGATTGCTAATGGCAGCCAGAGAGAATGGGTAAATGTCAGACAAGGATCAGTGACTCTTTGAGGATCACTTGCCTTTTCAGTAGAGATCAAAATCCTTGACACAAACTGTTAATATGCCACACGTGTCAGATTTCTCTTCAATTCCATCAACAATATCAATGAGGTGGCAACTCAGCTTTAATTACTTTATCTGTGACCTTAACTACTTTATCTGTGACCTAAGACTTCTCTCTGGGCCGTCTGATTAACCAAGGAGTGTTATTCTCTCTTCTGTTTTTTCTCTTCTTGGATTAATGGTCTCGATGGATGATGCCATATTAGGTTTGCCAAAAGTAAAAATTGACTATTTACCCTTGAAAATTATTTCCCATGATCCTCAGAGTCACTGTTACTATCAGATCTACTTATCTTTGAAGAGCCCCTTATTAGACCCTTCTTATTTTTCCCCACTACTATCATCCCTCAGTTTGTGCCTATATTTTTGTCTTGCTCAGACCTTTATAAGACTCTGCCTCCTCCACCAGAAAAAAGACTCTACTCCCTTTATCAGTAATATCTCCCAATCTAGTTTAGTAAATATGCTCTTACCAAAGTTACTTGAAGAAGTTACATGAAGAAATTTTTGATCACATCTATCCCTTGATTAAAACTACAATCAGTTACACTCAGCTATTTGCTAACTCATTACCAGTTCAAATTTTAAAATAAGGAATGGTTACCAAACATTACATATTTTTGTTAATTTTTATTAGATAATATACTAGGAAATATAAAAATAACAATTTTATATAATTTATTCCACATAAGAGTTGACTGGTTGAAATGACACCTGCCAGAGTGACATAAACAAATTACCCCAGGGATACTTGGGACAAACTATTAAAAAGTTAAACTCAATTCTTTAGCGAGTCTCAAAAAGGCTTTATGATCAGCTTGTCACTTTTCTCACCAGCACAATGCCT